GTGAAAGAAGTAGAAAACATCGAATTGTTACAATTGTTTTTCTTCAGAACGACGGATTCGAGAGACCGAGAGTGCAAGTAGCAGTTATTAATCAAACAGCATCAACAAACAAACACATCACAACAGGATTATACCAGATAAGTACATGGAGAGACACTTCTACGGTATATTTCAGTGTAGAGAGAAAAAAACCATTAAGATTGGTCCTTTCGTTTCTTCGATGTTGTCATGTGCACCCACACGCAATTGTAGAGGCAGTCTAGAAAGTATATCTAGAATTGTAGAGAGTGAGAGAGAGAGAGACAGAGGAAAAGAGAGAGTGAGAAAGAGAGAGTGAGAGAGAGTGAAAGATAAACAATATGCCAAACGAAATGAAAGAAAATAGTCCAGAGACACAAAGTAATATTAACAACAACAACTACTACTACTACTATTACTACTTCTACTACTACTACAACAGATCAACAACAGACAACAACTCCTAATCTACTCTCATCGTAGTCATCATATTCATCTTTCGTCATGATCATCGTCATCATCGTCATCATCGCCTTATTTCGAGCATCATCTACTTACATCTCCTCATCGAATCGTCCATCTTTTTTTTCTTTTTCTTTTTCTTTGTCCGCGCGCGTGTGTGAACGTTCTCCAGCAAAAATTCTTTCCCTCTCGCAATAAGGATTAATTAATTCATTAATATACAGAATCCTTCGAATTTAATCGCACGTATATTTTTGTTGGAGAGTACGTTTCATAAACGATTTTTAATATTGTCCTTTTGGTAGGACATTCGAGGCGTTCGTACGATTACAAATTATTATAATGGCGGCCTATCGTCAAACATTGTGCGTTGTCATTCTCGTGTAAAACAGGCCAGTCGAATTTTTTTTCTTTCTTCTATTTTAAAGAAATTCATTTACCTTTTTTTTATTTATTTTTTTTTGTTCTTTTATAAGAATCTTGGGAAAGTTTGGGAGAAATGTTTCTGCGACACGTGTAATAAAATGGTATAGTAACAAAGAGAGAGAGAGAGAGAAAAAGAGAGAGAGAATAAATGAAAAAATATTTTACGTTTTTTCGCGATGTGAAAAATTCATTATTATAATTAACATCATGAGAAGAAAAAAGAAAAGATACAAATAAGTATCTATCTTTTTCATCGTCTCTCTTTTTTTCTTTTCTTAAGAATCGATAAACCGCGAAATGAAATAAAAACGAGGAAGCGACTGAACGATCGAAATTTAATCGGGTTGTTGAAAGATGGGGAATAGTGACTGATAAGAATAACTTAAAAAGATATATCTGCTCTTTGTTTTTCATTTTCTCCATTTGTTATTCACGATTGTCTTTTTATTTTTTTTTATTTATTTTTTTTCTCTTCCGAATTTCTTGTCACGGGTCCAAAAAGATCTTCGTTGTATAACGACTAGGTATTATAACGATAATTAAAAATAAAGGAGTCCGAGAGTGGGAAGAGTGAGGAAAAAGAAAAAAGAGGATAGAAAAAATAAAACGGGATCGATAAGAGAGAGAGAGAAAGAGAAAGAGAGAGAAAAAGAGAAAGAGAGAGAGAGAGAGAGAGAGAAAGTTATACAAAATAACAAAATTTTCTCGTGATTATTTATCATAAGCAATATTTTAAAGCAAAATTTAATAAACACTGAGAGAGATAAAAAGATAACATTCATTAGGTACGACGATTGAATTATTGATTAATTTTTTTGTTTTAAAGATGACAATAATAACGAATGTTCATGTGCATTCTGTTAATATGCGAGCCACCTCCATGATCGTGGATCGATTGGAATACGAAAAAAACGAAAAGAAAAATAATAATAATAAAAATAATAAAAACAATAATAATAATAATAATAATAATAGTAATAATAATAATAATAATAATAATAATAATAATAATAATAATAATAATAATAATAATAAGAGTAAAGTGCTAAAAAAGAAATAAGAAGTGTATTCATTTTTTTAACACCATAAGAACGTTTCTCTATATGAGATTATCTCAAATGATATACTCTAAGGAAATGAATTTTTCAACAAAAAAAAAAAAATCAAAAAGATGAAAAAAAGAAAAAAGATATTTCTCCATCGAAGTTAAGTAATTTTCTTGCTTTATAATTCAATAATTCTAAATAACTTTCTTTGTTATATCTCTATAAAAAAAAGAAAAAAAATTCTCTAATCGATCCGAATACACATATAATTATTAACAACGCGTAAGAATCGAATGAACGTCAAATCGAATCTCATACTTTCGCTGAGAATTCACGAAATTTTGATAATGAAATAGATAAGAAGTGTAATACAAAAAACAAAAGAAAAAAAGAAAAAACGGAACAGAATAAAATAATTAAATAAAAAAACAAAAAAGATCATCATCCTCGATCGTGGAGAACAAAACGTGGTACGATCAGTGATAACGTAGTACGATCAGTGATAACGTGAAAATATGTAGGATGTAAAATAAGGAAAGAAAAGATAAGAGATAGGCGAGTTAGGGGAACGATGAAGACGTAATCCGAGGCACTAACAATAAGATAAAAGAAAGATGACAGAAAAAAAATGAAAGAAACGATATACAAAACTAAAAAAGTTCTTGTAAATAATAAGTCGACTCGCGAAGGATCTCTCGGAACTCCCACTTAGATATATAATATCCGTTCTAAATCTGCGTAATATCCATTCCCACGCAATAAATTATTAGTGTATAGATTCTATATCATAGATAAATATATATATATATATAAATATATATATATATATAAATATATATATATATATATAAATATATATATATATAAACAATAAAAAAGAATATATATATATACACATACACATACACACAAGGTATTTCCAAAGATGCGCGAGATTTTCGATTCATATGTTCGAACTCGCATATTGCTCGACTCCATTATAAAAATTCATTTGTTTGATATAACATTACGATACTTAAGTCACCAATTAATTTATCTATACTCTCATTCGTTTACCGAGAATTCAAATCGTTCATACGATTTTGGGCCCACGCGAAACAGTTTATATTCTTTCGATTGTAATGAACATAAAGTGTTACGAAAGATATCCGAATTGTCGGTAAATGAAAAATTAATAGATCGATATAAACGAGAACAACAAAAACGACGAGCGAATAAATAAATTGTCACTGTCAGGCGATCTTATGCGATCGAATTAAAGAAAAAAAAAAAAAAGAAAAGAGTAATAAAGAACATATTAAATACGTCGTCGTAGTCATCGTCGTCGTCGTCGTCGTTGTTGTTGTCGTTGTAGAGAAACAAAAAGAAAAAAATTTAAAAGATAAAAGAAAAAAGGAAGAAACGAAGAAAGAAAGAACAATGTGAAATGAAAGAAAGAAAAAGTGAAATACATTTTGACTCCGTAGAAATAAATAAGATTCGGTGTAGTTGATCGAATTGCGATAACATATTTATCATTATTATTATTATCATTATTATTATTATTATTACTACTACTATTATTATTATTATTATTATTATTATTATTATTAATATTATTAATATTATTATTATTATTATTATTATTATTATTATTATTATTATTATTATTATTATTATTATTATTATTATTGTTATTATTATTATTATTATTATTATTATTATTATTATTATTATTATTATTATTATTATTATTATTATTATCTTCATTATTATAATAAACGTAAACTAGTATACATGAATACATAGATATATAAAGAAAACGAAGAAGAAGGAGAAAGAGAGAAAAAATAAAATACAAAGAGACAGTGAATACTATGATCGTATGTTTGATCTAACATCTAATTGATTAATTAATGTAAATTGTATAAGCATATAAGCATGTATGTCCGCCGTTAATGAAGGATTAAGTTTAACAATAAACGAGAGAGGTAGAGAAAGAGAGAGAGAGAGAAAGAAAGAAAAGAGGAAAGAAGAGAGAGAGAGAAAGAGAGAAAGAAAGAAAGAGAGAAACCGAAATAATGTTGAAAGTGTGAAATTTTATCGTTAAATTATCGTTATATATTTAAGGGTATTATAAAACAAGGGAAATATGTATATGAAGCCAGGTAGCTCTTCATAAATCCGATATTCACTTGCGATTCGTTCCCTTTATTTTATTTTTTTTTCCTTTTCTTTTTTTGTGTTTCCTTTTTTCTAATCATTTTACTTCTCTTCGACCCCTCCCATCGTTTTTATACTTTCCCTCTCTTCGAAGATTCATTTTCGTCCACCGACGTCTCTTTCCGATAAAAATATCGGCCTTTTCGTCGTTGATAAATAAATATTAATTAAAATGTACTTATATATATATATATATATATATATATATATATATATATATATATATACATATATACATATATATATATATACATATATATATATATATATATATATATACGAAAGAGACGACGTAATATTGATTATTTTGAGGAAAAAAATGAAAAGACAATTCTCCTTCGTTTACACGGAGAAAACGAGTAACGAGCTTCGATTAAAAATTCGATTTAAATATATCGATGCGTTTAGCGGTGTAACATATACCATAAATATATACATATATATATATATAAGATATATTATTGTTCTACAAATATATTATGTATATCGCATCGTTCGATCGAGATCGAAAGGATGCACCCAATTTTTCTCCAAAGTTAACTTTCAAAATAGGTTTTCGTATGTGCTTCGAAAACCAATAAGTGCAACAAGAACGTGAGAGAGAGAGAGAGAGAGAGAGAGAGAGAGAGAGAGAGAAAGAAAGAAAGAAAGAAAGATAGAGAGGCATAGCGTGAATGAGTGCGTGTGAGAAAAAGAGAAAAATTATCACAGTTAGCGTGCCACTGTCATATCAAGCGTATATCATCGTGTTACGTTATATATATATATATATATATATATATATATATATATATATATATTAGACTTATATATATATATATATATCTGAACAAAAAGAAAGAAAAATTTGAATTATTATTATCAATATTATTATTAATATTATTACTAATATTATTATTATTACTATTATTATTATTATTATTATTATTATTATTATTATTATTATTATTATTATTATTATCATTATAATTATTACCGTAATGTAATACAATTGTTAAGAAGGATCGATTGTTGTTCAGTGTTCGCGTCATACGATCGGTCGTCTTCCACACGGTCGTTCGTAAATTCAACTTCCGAGCAATGCAAATATTATACAGAAAGATAAACAAATATATGTGTGTATAGAAATGCATACATACATATACATACATATAAATACATACGTACATACATATTAAGATGGTGACTTTGCCTCGACAAATCAAGATCGACGATCACAACGACACGATAAAAAATATTCGTTAAATCACTTATTGTTAGATCATTTTAGCAGTTACTTTTTCTCTCTCTCTCTCTCTCTCTCCCTTTCTCTCTCTCTCTCCCACTCTCTCTCTCTCTCTCTCTCTCTCTCTCTGTCTCTTTATGATTATATCGACATACATATTCATAGATACATATATACATACGTAGCAATATTTCGAATTTTATCTGCTTTCTCCATTCCACGAATTTTAAGCGCAATTACATATGTAATCGCAAACAATATAATAATCGTCTTATAATGAGATTTTCATCGTACGTGCCAGAATGTCTTTCTTTCCCTCGCGTAGAACGATCGTGTATATGTAATTTTTATCGACTTTACTAGAACTTTATCGAGAGTATTACAAAGAGATATAGCGAAAAAAGAAAGGGAAAGAAAAAGAGAAAGAGAGAGAGAAAGAGAAAGAGAGAGAGAGAGAAAATTCTCGCCTCCCCCTATCGAATGTTGTAAATGTTTCTCATCTCAAATCGAATTTTATTATTATTATTATTAATTAATTAATTAAATAATATAAATGTGAAAGAGGAAAGCCACGATATTGCTTTCCCACGAACGACCTCGATGGAAAATGCCGTTTAATAAATATGTTAGACGAAAGGGAAATGATAGGTGTGATTGAAAGTGAAAAGTATCTATACGAAAGTAAGAGAAAGAGTGAAAGAGAGAGAGAGAGCAGAGGTAGAGAAAGAGCGATAGAAAGACGTGAAAGTGAAATAGAGAAGCAGAATGATTGACAAGAGAGGGACAGAAAGAGAAAGAGAGAGAGAGAGAGAGAGAGAGAGAGAGAAAGAGAAAGAGAGAGAGAGAGAGAGAGAGAGAGAGAGAAAGAAAGAGAGAGAGAGAAAATACGAAAGGAATGATGAGCGAGAGGCCGTCTCGATATTATTTTTCGACACGACTGTTTATAATCCTACGATAAACAAAAACAAAAACAAAAACAAATAACAAATAACAAACGTTTTTATGTGAATATAAGGAAAAAAAATAAGTCGCACCGACATCAGCTCGAAAACACGTTTGCGGATCCATGGCCGTGTTAAAGGAAAAAAGCGAAGTTAAGAAAAAAAAAAAGGAAAGAGAGAAAAAAAAGAGAAAGAAAAGAAAAGAAAATAAAGGTAAGGAAAATAGATAAAAAAAATCGAGATATATATATGTAAATCGTTGATATAAAATTATTTTCCGAATTATATTTACGATTCTCATTGGATGTTTGACGTTTTAACGATATGGCCCTGTATCCTCTCGTGAATATAAAATGCCGCAACGACGTGGCTACATAACCGTCGCCTTTTTTTATTCTTCAATTTCTACATGTTTAATCGCTAAGTATAAATCGAATTAAGAAAAATGAGGTTAAAATTCGATGAACGAAAGTGTTTAAAAGAACAAGAATGGAGGACAGAAAAAAAAGAAAAAATAAAACAAATAAAAAGAATACGAATAGAAGCAGAAAAAGAGAAAGAGAGAGAGAGAAAGAGAGAGAAAGAGAAAGAGAGAGAAAGAGAGAGAGAGAAAGAGAGAGAAAATCTCGTCGTACATAAGTACTTACTTGCATAAAATTTATCGTTATTATTAATGAAGATAAAAAAAGCAAAAAAAAAAGAATAACGCAATATAACTTTCAATCGCGTGTATATACCTAACTGAAATAATAATAATGTGACCTTCGTGTGTGAATAATAATAATAAAAGAATGCTATAAATGGTGTGCCTGGGACTGTGCATATGAGAAAGAAAGAGAGAGAGAGAGAAACAGATCGATTGTGCGATAATGGAAGAAAGATAGAGATAGAAAGAAGGAAAGAATCATTGAAAGGATAAATAAAAAAGAGCAAAAAATTTAAGTATTACGTACATATGTCGTGTTTTGCCTAGTTCTTTGCGACGCTTAAATTAAGCTCGTCTACGCAGTGAAAGGCGCGAAAGAGAAAAGAAAAATGGGAGGGAAAAAAAAAGAGAAAAGAAAAACATAAAAAAAGAAAAGTCACGACGGAAGTGTCAGTCGAATCGTCGAGATTTTCACATGGAAAAACAATTAAAAGAAAAAATGGAACAAAAATTCAATCGTTTCGAAACAGAAATTCTCGGAGTACGACAATTGCGTTGTTTGAAGGACGTTTGGAGAAATAAAGAACAGTAAAAAAAAAGGAAATAAGAAAAGAAAATATGACGAAAAGCAAAAAGGATGGATAATGACGGGGCTAGAGAATAAGTTTATCGAGTTTAGACTTAAAAAGGATAAGCTATTAAAAAGGGAAAAAGATATTAAAAAAAAAAAAAATAAAATAAAATAAAATAAAACGAAAAAAGAGTTTATTGAAGTAAGTACATTGTTGCAACTGCCATGCTGTGTGCCATTATATAACGAGTCACGTTTGTCGTAAAGTAAAAAATTATAGAAAAAATAAAAAAAAAAAGAAAAAAGAAAAAAAAAAGAACTATACGGAAAGATTGTCGAAAATGATGATGGTCATGATGAAATAATATTTGTGCGCGTTCTCGTCTGTCAGATTAAGGAAGAAGAAAAAAAGAAAAAACACAAAAAAAGAAAAAACGAACAAAAAAAATAAAAAAAATATCGTTCTTTCCAAAAATTTACATCTCGCTTTAAAGTCGGATAAATATTCTCAAAAGAAAAAAGAAAAAAGCAAAAGAATTAAATAAATAAATAAATAAATAAAAAACTAAAATAAAATAAAAAAGACAAACATACATAAATATATATACACATTCACAAACACACATATACACACACATATTCACACGCACACACATATCCTGTTATCTTCGTTCGAAGAGAAAACAAGCGAGAGAATGGATACAATCGGTTTTTATATTATAATGATTTTTTGTTGACAAAATTTTTAATTTTCAACTTTTTCTAATGAAATAATTTCTTCCGTGAATTTCTTCCTCTATATTTCTTTCAACTATAATTGATTTCGAAATAAAGATATAAATTTGCAAATTGAAATGGAAATAGTGGAACGAAAGCAAAAAAGAGAGAGAGAGAGAGAGATAGAGAGAAAGAGAAAATAAATAAATAAAAAACTAAACACATATAAATAAACAAATAAATAAATAAGAAAAAAACCAAAGTTCCATTCTCAACTCGCTCGTTTCCGCCCGTCGAATAATATTCCGTGCGCTCGCTCGCGCGAAACCATCATGTAAATCACAGTGAATGCGAGAAAGGCCACACTGTATATACATATATAAGGAATAATAATAAATATAAATAAAAATATGTGTACGTGTTAATAAGCGTGGGCGTAAGCGCACGGTTATGATAACCGATAAATGTTCTTTTTTTTTCTAACAACCATCGACCATTAAACAAAGAACGGGCGTATTTCTTCGCAACGTGTCAGAGAAGAAAATTTATTATACGAGAACTTTCGTCCCTGCGCATTCAAGAATAAAATAAAATAAAAAAAAAGAAAATTAAAAACAGAAAAATCGAATCTTGTCATCTTCACCCTTTATACACATACATATATATATATATGAATGTGTGTGTGTATGTGTGTATGTGTGTATGAATGAATTGTTAAAAGAGGAAGATTATTCTGATCATGCGCAGGAACGAATTTCTGTAAGTCGTGAACTTTCGTAAAATATATCGCGACGTCTTTAGGGAATATAATTCAATTTGTTAGTTGAGAAAAAAAGAAAAAGTGAGAAATTGAGAAAGTGAGAGTGAGAGTGAGAGAGTGAGAAAAAAGTGAGAGTGAAAGAAAAGGAAAGAAAGCGAAAGAGAAAGAAAGATAGAGCGCCAACGATATGGGGAAAAAAGATAAGAAAAAGAGAATAAAAAAAGAAAAGAAAAGGAAAGAAAAAAAACAAAAAAAAAGAATTAAAATTAAGTATAAATTAAAGAGAGAACACGTCGACCCGTCATAGATTCAAGCACAATAAGGACTAGTAGGGCCAGGCACAATAAAATTCGGCCGTCACGTTGTAGGCAGCGATCTGTTAGAGTGACAAGTCATATTAAGTATCTATATATAGCGAGACTATTAAATAAACACATATTGTCTATTGTCAGACGAGTGTATCATTCATTGTTGACGTTAAATTCGTTTATCCTATCCGACCTTCTGATAAAACGGATACTAAAATAAAAAACAAATGCATAGGAGGATGTTCTACGCTCATTGATATCTGAACCATTCCTATCCTCGATGTTTTTCTTTTTTCTTTTTTTTTTCTCTTTTTTTTGATAGATACTATGAAACAATCGAAAGATTAATATTCGGAAGTATCCATGAAGTTGGTTGTAAAAAGATATAATCACGTCGTTCGCCTAGTTAATATTTTAATAATAATTGTTTCATTTTATCAACTATAAGCGATCATAGGATTAATATTTTTTATTATAATATATAGGATAATGGAGAATCATCTTCTTGCTTATTCCAATCAAACTGGTACATAGATCATAAGAAATATTTTATTTCTTAAATATATTAGAGGTTAATTATATTTAATTTAAATTAATAAAAATATATATGTATATATATATAATATATAATATAATATTATATATATATAATATATATATATAATATATATATATATAATATTATAGATGATTCGAGTAATAACAGACAAACCATAAATCAGAAAATTTCGAAGTTAGAAAAGCATACGAGAATTTTCGCGTCTATGTGTCCCGATGAGATTCTGGATTATTTTGACGACTATAGTATGAGAGAGTATTTAACAACGCTAATGCTCGGTGATATATCAGGTGTACAAAAAAGATGAAAAAAAAAATTATAATCAACAATTTCCGATCTAATGTTTACAATAATATTTATTTACTTTTCCATAATAATAGGCTTTACCGATTTTGTTGAAAAATATACGAAAGCAGGTAAAGGTGGTGCATCAAACTTGACGGAGACGTTGAACAATTACATAGGTCTTATGATTCAAGAAATTCTCTCGCAAAATGGCGACGTATTAAAATTTTCCGGCGACTCTTTTATCGTCATGTGGAAGCTTAAAAACGATACTAATATGCGCGACCTAGCAACTACGGCGATTCAAACGGCTTGCGTTATACAACAACATTTTGGCATTTATGAGACTGACGTTGGTATCACACTAAGAGGTTTATAATTTTATAATTTTATTTATGCCTAAGTATATACTCGTTGTTAGATTCACGTTTAAATCTTGACAATACATTGTCGATGTAATCTTAACAGTAAAAATAGCCATAGCATCTGGTACAACATATTTTACGTCTATCGGTGATCCAAAGAAAATGTCGCATTACATGATAACCGGTAGGCCTGTGTGGGAAGTTAAATATGCCGAACAACTTTGCAAGTATATAACACGTATAAAACTAACATAAATTATTTAACACGAAGTTATCAAAATTATTAAATTGATTATTAATCATATAATTAATTATATTATTTATAATTGATTATTAAATTGATTGATAATTCGTCTAGAGGTGGCGATATTTTAGTAGCACTTAGCACCTGGCAATGGATAAATCCAATCGACTATGTCTATGAAACACTTCCTGATGGCTTACATGTTCTTGTTATAACTTGTTCTACCTTATGGTATACTTTGAAAAGCTCTTACAATGAAAAACCAAACAATGAAGAAGGTATGCTGAATCAATCACTTACGTTACATCTATCTATATAAATGAAAAGTATAATATAGAAAAAAAAAGAAAATGAAAACAAAGAAAAAAAATTGGATCCAACAAATTCACAGATAACTGGAATAATAATATGTTTTTGTTTGACAAATTACCATTAACAACGATTAATGACACTTCGGCGTTAAAGAATATGTCGGACAATCTAATGTATCGAAGAAATATGAAAATGACCTACTATACTTGTTAGTAAAATTACATTATTAACATGAAATCCATGACAAAAATCAAATGACAAGATTCTTAATAGCAGTAGATGAATTTTGTCCTTTTTCTTTTTTTTCTTTTTTTTTTTTCAGTACGACCAAAAATCTTAAAAGTAGCGAAAGCACATTTGAAAGACGCTTTGAAAAGTTATATATTAAGACCGGTTGTCCGTTCAGTCGAAATGGATGAACCATTGAAATATCTGTCCGAAATGAGACAAGTCGTTATTGTATTTGTCAATGCAACCATCAATGAAATAAAAAATAAACAATTGATAAGATCAATCGACGCAGCATACAAACTCGTATGCAGGTATACTTGGCTTTCTTGGATTGTTTTTGTTTAAAAGTATTATATCTGAGAAATCAAGATCGATTAAATATAACGCGACAAATTTAATAGGATAGTCAGTGGGATGCAAGGATGTGTCAACAAAACGTCTCTCTTTGACAAAGACTTAATGTTTCTTTGCATTTTTGGTTTGCGAGGAGATAAACATGAACTTGAATCACAAATCGGCCTTAAATGTGGCTTCAGATTGCGAATTGCTTTGAAAGAGTTAACAAATATTACTGACGTCACTGTTGGCGTTACAACAGGGATGACATACTGTGGCGTTGTTGGTTACATACTAAGAAGAGAGTATACAGTTATTGGAATGGCAGTGAACAGAGCTGCTCGACTTATGATGGTTTACAAAAACAAGGTAAATTATTTGCTACATATATAATAGAACGTTACCTTTCTCATTTTTATAAAATTTTGTTATTTTTCATTTTTCTTCCACCTCCTCCCTCCTAAAAAACATTGAGTAGGTTATATGTGACAGAGAGAGTTTTCTTCATTCTCAATTAGAAGGTAGCCATTTCAAATTACAAGAGCCCAAATATTTGAAAGGAATTATAGACATTGGACCAATTTATGAGTTCGAGGAACAAGTCAAGTAAAAATGATTTATTTAATTAATGTTTAACGTTCAATTTAATTTCGCAAGTAATCGATTGCAGAGATAAAACGTCGGAATTGATTTGGAGCAAATATCCTTTGCTAGGTCGAGCTAAAGAAATGAAAATTTTTCGAAACTTATTAGCAACTATGTTAGACTACACAGTCATGAAAAATCATTCAACAACTGAACCACAGTACAATACATTGATAATAAAGTATACGTTATGAAATAATTCTAATTCGAAAAAAAAAATAAAGGATTTTGTAACTAACTACGAATATTTGGATATAGAGGTGAACCCAGAATAGGAAAAACGAGGATGTTAGACGAAATGGCATTAAACATACCAAATGGTATCCCATCAAATTACATTTCTCTTGTTTCAACAGACATGCAGGTTGTTGACCATGAAATTTTCTTTTGCGTTGATAATAAATCTTTGAAAAAAGAAAAAAGAAAAAAAGAAATAAGAAAACATTTTTCCAGAACAGAAGCCATACACCTTATTCCATCTAATATTCTCTTTACCCTTGAAATTCTCATCAACGTCAACTTCAAAGGATCGAGAAGACAAGTTGATGCGTTTATTAAACAATATACTTTATCCTGAATATCTCTGTGTATTGAATAAAGTCTTCAATGTTCGTTTCCCATTGACCGAAGAATACACAACTGTTAAGGAATTAGAAAAGCATAGGATACTTGAAAAACTTTTAATATATCTAACAAAAAAATGTTTTCAAAAACTCTGGATCATCATTATTGACGACATTGAATACGCCGACGAAGAGTCATTGAACTTTTTCGATATTCTTATCAACACCAATATGTTTTTGTTCGTCATTAGTGTTGGTCGAAAAGTTGATGCAGAATACAAATTGGCTAATACATTATTGAAAAGAGCACTAGTATGTAAATTTGTAAAAATCAATTATTTTTAATTAGAATCTGTAATCAATAACTTAACAGAAACATACATATGGTTTGGTTCCTTTTTCTCTTTCTTTTTTTTTTTTATTATAAAAGGTCATTGAACTGCAAGGTATCGATAAATGGTATCACGTTGGTATTGTGTGTCAAATACTCAATGTATTTGGTATATCTACAGAATTGGAAAAGCAAGTTAATTCTTTTTTAATGATATTCTCAGAAGTATAAGGTTCTATATATATTAGAAATATTTGTTTAGATTTATTCAAGAACGAAGTTTAGGAAATCCAGGCTGGATCGAAAGTTATTTGGTGAGTCTCATGCAAAGTAATAATCTAGAAATCATAAATGTTACTAGAAAAGAAGCTGAGTCAATGGGATATGTTTTACCCGATTTAAAAATGTTAAAAAGGTAGTAAGTTAAAACATAATATCGAAAACAATTGAAAAATATAAATAATTGAATTTATTAATTTCCCTTTATTACAAATATATAATAGATTCATTTTGGATTCGACTATTTTAAAAAAAAGCAGTTTACCTCGCGAGGATAGATGGGAAATGTACGAGACAAGTTATATGGTTAGCACATTAGTCATTTTCTAAATGCATAAAAATTATTTACATAAATACACAAACTTATCATATAAATTTATTTATTATTTATCTTTAGAATGACACAATGTTCTCGATCAATAACACGATTCATCAAGATGAAATCGATTTGAATAGCGAACTGATAAGCATAGCTTTTTCAAAAACACTAGAAAACTCATTAATCATGAATATTAATATGCGAATAAACTTTGACGGTAAAAGGAAACTATTACTATCGTATACAAGGATACTAATATATAATTAGGATTCTTTTTCAGTACTTATTTTAAAAGTGTTCGATGCTTTAACGCCACTCGATCAATTATTACTTAAATGTGCTTCTATACTTGGCGTATTTGTTTGCCGAAAAATGTTGGAAAGTATAACTGAAATGTCTAAAAAAGACACAGGTTTAAGTAAGATTGGATTACTATATATATTAAATTTAACAGTACGATAAATATATATACACATATTTATCGTATGTTTGTATGTGTATATATATATATATATGTATATATATATATATATATATATATATATTCGAATTCCCGGGGACATTAGCTATACGTAAACTTTTCGAAATTCGAATTTTCGAATGCGGAATGGGAGATTTTACTAAAAACGTTGGTCCTATTATGTACTACAGAAGAATGCGTAATCATATCGGTGATATAGGTATTCAATGTAGATGTATTGGCATCGTGATACCAGGTAGTTTTTTAATTATTCTTAACAAATACTTTTTTTTACATTTACTTTGAATCCGATTGTCATTTAGAGGAACTGGCCAATATGCCGAAGTATGCATCATGCGGTCTCATACGTTTCAAGATAACGATATTTCAAGATACAACATATAGGTAAACAATCTGTTACGTCCAACCTAAATTTTTATATGTAACAACTTCGTATCTAAAAAATTTAATTCAATTTAAATCGTAACTAAAGTATCTATAAAATAATTTTGATTAAAGATTACTCACGGAGAATCAAAAAATCGAGTTGCACAAGAAGGCACTCAAGTATTTAGAACGAAATACTAGACGTTGCAAATCATGTGGCGAAGGATATTTTTCGAAATTATTAGGTGAAAAATTCTTGGACGAAGTAGGAAAAATACCGATAGAATATTCATTGAATATAAGACAATTTCATGGAATAAGTTCAAAGTTATTCGACATACCCAAAATAAAAAGTAAAATAATGATTAAATAAATATATTTAATAATAAACATATATATGATGATTTACATGTTTTTAGATGTGTTAACCAATAAAAAGAGTCCACCTTATTTAAATATTTTAAGAAAATCAAAGAAAAAACTAATACGTACTTTCTCCAACATTGATTTCACTAATTGTGAATGTAATCTGATATTATTAACCGTTTATACACAAATGGTTGAGCATTGTCGTAGAATTGGTAAATTTTAACAGAGAAAAACAAATATATATAAAATATTATAGAATAATAACTTATAGGATTATATTATAGGATAGGAAATATTGTATAAATATTACATGAAATTCAAATCGATTGATCAACAATTGTTTTTTTTTTTTAGGTGATAATGATAAAACTTTAATCGCTATATTGGAATTCGCTGAGATTTGCATTGAAAATCAAAATGTTCCTCAAGCAAGGAAATTGTTGAACGAGGCTGAGACTATACTTCAACAGGTATATGTAGATCCTATCTCATTTAATTAGATATTTAAATATTAAAATAGAAAAAAAAGTAAAAAAAACAGCCAAATGTGATTTCTCTTCTACTCATCGTCAGATATTCGATCCAAACAAAAACGAGGTAATTACATTTCTTTATCTCACTGCAAAGATTCAAACCTTGCAAGGTAAATGTTATTTCGAATCTGGCTACACTTCAGAAGCCGAGAAAAGCTTGGACAAAGCGATGAAAACTTTAGGCTACCATTTTCCACGAACGAACATAATGATCAATCTGAAAACTATATTTCAATTAAACAAACTTAAATTATTATTATTATTCTGTTCGAGAAAACGTAAAAGTGATAACGACAAAAACAATTATGCTACGAAATATACAAATCAATTGGCGTATTGCTTGGCTCAAATATTCGAAGTTTATAAGGTATAAAGTCTAATGATTATAGCGAGAAAAAAAAAGAGGGAAAGATGAGCATGATTATGTATATGCCAAAGTGGGCCGAAAGATTTTTTAAAATTTCAGAAGGATGATATTAAAATTCAATTGAACTTTCTTTTACCGAGAAGTTTAATTAGGCTTGCTATTTTACAAGCTAGCCTGGTGGTTTTAAAATTTGGCAAAAGAAACAAAAAAAAAGAAAAAAGAAGAAAAAAAAATTAGCCTAAAAAATCTCAAAGAAGAAAAAAATAATTGATTTTTAGAATCGATTTTAAAATACTTTCGATCCGTTCAAAAACTTTCGGCATATCTTGTATTGCTTAATTTTAATTTCTTTTAATCTTAACCTAATCTTAATTTCTAAGATTAAAGGTATGAAAAAAGAGACTCGATTGGCAGCAATATGGGCATTAAACAAAGCACGTTCTACCAGCGATTTCTTGGTACTATCCATATGTTATACCAACATGCTGACTATCGGCCACATGTATTGCACGAAGTAGATAAATACATACATATATGTACATGCATAAGTATGAAATTAAACGAAACTTTTGTCTAAATAACGAAATAATTTTTTAACAAATAAAAATCATTTGTCAGTAACATCATTAAGTATTTGGAAAACGAGAGCATCGATTTGTGTAACGAAGAAGTTAGAATAATAGAGTATCAAGATCTCAAAATAATTATTGAACTTTATGCCGGTGTTTTTTTCTCACGTTGGCTAAGAGGACAAATTAACGAGGCCATCGATATCGGTTTCATCATTATCAGATTAGCAAAATCTATTAATTTAACAAATACCGAATGTATTGTTTTACCAAGACTCATTAATCTTCTGATGATCTCTTGTCGTTATTCCGAAATTGTCTCAATATTACGAGACTTAGGTGATCATTAACAGTTATATCATTAACGTATTCTAATCTAATTATATCCTTTTTATTTTCTTTTTTCTTTTAACTTATAATAATATTCCATACAGAATTTGTGTCGAAAAACCATATGGACAAGTCCGGTCGTACGTGGTATTACGCAACGTGTGCCGAAGTACAATTGGATATAGGATTGATAGTTCTTTCTTATCAAAATTGCGAACGTTATTTTCTGAAAGAAGGTGAAAATCTTTTAAGCCTGCGAGATTCGGAAGCCGAAAGACGATATTTTATATCAATGTGGCTATGGTATATATATTATCTCATGTGTGTGCGTGCATGTGTGTTGATTTTATTATTAACCCTTTGGACTCAAACTTTTTCTTGGCTGAAACTTCTAACAGGTCGAACTTTTTTTGTCTTCATCAGTTGCATGCATATTGTTAGTGCTTAGGAGATACACTTCGAGTACAATTGTCGAACTTTAGCAGCACTTGTAAGGATTATTTCGAGTGCAAAGGGTTAATACTAATAATTTGAAAAAGAATATCTCTCTTTTATCTTTCTTTCAGGTGTATTAGAAACAAAGAATGGGCAGCATCTAAGGTATGGATAAAAAAAAAAGTTGAAAGAAAGAGTACCGACGAAGACCTAGTCGCAGCCACTATTACAGATTTGAAAGAACTCGAAGGAATGCTCATTTCTTACGGTTTGTACTCATATTCTTTTTTTTTTTTGCAATGCAAAGGGCGAAGAGGGGAAAGAAAAAAGTCGCCCTTCTTTAGCGTGTGAATATGTTTTTTTATCTTTACCCAGTACATTATGTGAACAATTATGACGCCAAAGCTATAAATATTATGACGAGTATCAAAGCTTCTTTAAAAAATATTAAAAAGATGGTGAAAATCGTGAAAATTGCGAGACCAAGGTAACAAGAAAAAAGACACATTTTTATAAATTAATTTAAAAGGAAGAAAAAAATATCGATATACCTACACAAGTGTGCCTTCGATCTTATATAGGTACATATTAATAAAAGCTTACTATTACATGGTTCGGGGTTACAAAAAGATGGCTATAAAGATTTTACAAAAAGCTATAAAAATATCTTTCAAAATGGATAATAAAATGATATATGGATGGGCAATGCATTGTAAACAAGTTTGTTTTAATATATTTATAATTAATTCATGATTAATTAGATGATTACAAATTATCGTTAATATAATATGAATATTTGTATGTAGGCTTGGGAAGGAAAACTGCCATTGATAGAACGTGACTTGTGGCAACAACAATCGATGATCCCTTCATCTTCAACTTGGAACGAAATTAATACGAACGAAACGAAAATTATCTTTTATACATTGCCAATACCGACCTATTAAATCTTATATTTTGTTTTATTGAAATGATTATTTAATGATATAATATATTCTATTGTACATAAAAAGTAATTAAATCTATTCGATAAACACACGCATAACATACCAACGCCTTCTCAAATCAAACTGATCGTATGTCAAGGTTATTATTTTATAAAATGATATTACGCGAAGAAAACAATGATTATTGGTTAAACTTATAAAATGGCAATGGGCGCCATTTTAAGATTAATTTTAAAAATAATACAAAAGCTTTAAATTGTAAATATATATTTATTTTTATATAATATATCCATTGGAAATTGTATAATTATTTAATAAGTACTTTATTTCTCGGTTTTCTTGTTACTTTAAATTTTTTGTGTGTGTTTCCTCTAAGCAATGCTATTAATTGAAATAAAAAAACAAAAGACTAACTTGTTTGATTTGGAAAACTTCAATAAATTCAGTAATATGTCCAGAAACAAATTATTTTAAATCTAAACAAAAATAAACCTTTTGATTGCAAAATTTCAATTTATCAAACACCTACATCTTATCAACAAATATGTCGTAAGCATAAAATAATATATTTTGTATCATGGAAATCAAATTAAAACTACTGTTATTATTAGGTGTTTTCCGTGCTCTCCTCCAAGCTGTTATCCAACATGTGCACCAATATGTCCTACACCTTGCATACGACCCTGCTATACATGTCCAATTAGAGTAAGATTTGATTTGACATATTTATATTCTAATTGTGTCAAATTTTATGGCAATATAAATATTAAATCTAAATTGATCTTCCTAGTTTTGTTTATAATTATTTTATTAATTATTATTTCTAAAATTTTATAATTAATAAATATTCACATATATATACACAGGTCTGTCCGCCTCCACCTTGTCCTACACCAGTAGTCTGTTGTCCACCTATGATACCTAGCTTTTCCTGCGGTCCTTGCAGTCCTTGTGGTCCTTGTATTCCTTGCGTGCCAAAATGCTATCCTTGTGCTCCAGCACGAATTATATGCATGCCTACCTGTCCACCTTGCAGTACTTGATTATTATCTTCCTAAATTGAAACTTATTATTTCTTCAAAATTTCACAAATACGTATCATTTATATTTACTTTTCATTGCAGCAGTCAGAGTATACAGATGTTAATACAATTCTATTCAAAACAAAGTTTGGCCTAACATGCTTTCATATAAATGACTTTTTAAACTTTTAAAAATGAACAGCAGTTATATAAAAATAAAATACTGTACCTCATATTGTCAACTGTAGCAAATATCAACAATAGATAATAATAGATAACGATACCAGTTTATTATTTATTTGTCTCATATATTGAAATAAAGATTTAAGAACATGAATATACATTTCATTACTATACACTTTTATTATAATAAATTATCACCTTTGTGTAACATAATTTTATTACCATGCACGTTTAGGTGATTGTGTAGCATGTGTCAAAATCCAAGTTTTATATTCTTTCTTTTTAATTTGTGCTTGCTTGTGCTTTGGGAACTTTTTACACATTATATACCATCTTTCATTTCTTGCAACTTTATAACAATGTTCACAACGAAGCTGCAGTCGTCCTTTCATTTTCAAACCAGATACTAAATTAATTGTAGGTGAAACAAGTTGCAAAAGTAAAGATTTATTATTATTCGCCAATGTATATGGTATAGAATTTAAATACTGTTTTTCACACATATGATGTATACTTCTTAAAAGTATGCCAGGATCTCTTCCAGATATTACATTTGAAAGTCTTGGCACTATACTGGACTGTACCATCTGACGTATAACTCCAAATTTGAGTATTGAAAAAGAGTTCATGTTTTTGTAATCTAATACGATAAAAACAATTATATTAAGATTAGACCTATAAATATTTGTGAGATTAGAACTATAAATATTTGTGTAGAACTATAAATATTTATAAAATGAATACAAAAGAACTAACCTAACAAATAAATGTTTATATCTTAATTGACATTATTTAACTATAGACATTCAAAATATATATTTTTTTATAAAATTTCTAAAATTCAATGTTTTAGAAATATATATATATAACTTAGATATATATATAAAATACGTTCACGCGTATGAAATACGTTCACTTGAGCACATAAAACTAAAAAGCAATAGAGGACGTATTTATGTAGAGAACAGAGACATCTAATGTTTATTATTTGAACTAAGAGATTTGTAAACTATAAAACTCCTTTTGAAATGAAAGTTAATATATAATTAACAATTAAAAGATCAAATACTCAAGTAATTTTGAAGACATTTTTCTAGTAAATCTTATATACTAAATAATAATTTTATGAATATCGATATTTATTTACTATTTCAGACGAAATAGATTCTTAATTGTATAAAATAATATGATTTTTAATTTACAGTAATTTTCAAAATAAGATATGTAATAGACATTTATTTGATAGGATCAATGTATTGATTTAAGATGATATCAAGCAATAAATTTTTTAGCCCACATCTTCAACAAACTGTACTAATATTGTATCAGTTCCCTCTGCTAGTTACATTTATATGTTTAAAGAAATATGATATGTGAAATTCATTATCATAGTTAAATAAATTAGTATATACATATATATCTACATAAATATATGAAAAAAATTTGATATTGGCATATGAAAAAAGGAAGAGAAAGATTCTAACAATAAGTTTTATTACATAACAGGTTAAATAATAACAGTTCTGAAATATATTTATTATAAAACTTGAAATATTTTGATTATTGTTAATATACACAAGAAATATTAAGATCAATGAATATATTTCATCAATGAAAATAATATAAAATAAAAGAATGATATATTCTTAATATTAAAAATAAATAAACATATTTCCATGTTAAATATTGATGCTAAACACTGCTAGTCTTTTAATATTTATTTTACTTAAACATTGTGCTATTATTACAGAAGCTGTGGTAAGCAAAATAGAGCAACTGAAATAAAAACACTAATATATTTAAAACCAGTATCTTTATCCGATCAACTAATTAAAAAACCTTCAACTTTAATAACACGTATTAATAATTTTAACAATTTCATACTTATAGAACTTAACAATAATATCTATCTTGCCAATTAGTAAATAGTTATATATGTAATAATAATAATGTGAATTGAAAAAATTCAAATCCAGTATGAAAAATAATGAATATAAAAAAAAATTATCGCACAATAAAAATAATTTTATTGCAATATTCTTAAAAAAAATCACAATACATAAATCCAAAGCACGTAATCATCATAACGATGTAATGTAACATAAGCATCATATTTGCACCTTCAATCAAAATTCTATATACGTTACTGTATCGTTTTTTCTTATAATTAAATGCTATTAAAAAGAGTCATAAATTAAAAGATTATAAATAAAGCATTTTTAAACAATGAAAAAAAAAATTCAGATTTCAAAAGATATATATATATATAAAAACTGTATATATATATACATATATAAGTATATCCTCGTTATAATAAAAATATTGAACGAGACGAATTTGACTGACGTGGTTGTTACGAGGAGACAACAACGTGAAAAAAGTAGTCCCACAATAACATAGAACTACTTCTATGAATTACCTCATTCTTACCTTTTCTCGCAATTTATAACTTTTGTAATGATATAAAAATGTTCGTATTTTTTTTTTTTAACACTATCAAAAATAATTGTAAGTTATATGTAAAAAATATATATGGGCGTACATATCGTTAGACATTTCGAGGAAGTACGTTGCCGCACTTCGACAAACGGTCGAATTTTTTCTCGAAAGTTCAATAAAACAAGTTACCTTAAATTCTTCTACAGTTGAAAAACGTTGACAGTTACGAGATGTACATTTATTTATCAAAAACAAGACAAAATATAATAATTTAACGTTTCAAGGAATTTTTACAGAGTACGCACTATTTATACGTCCATATGTAGCCGATAGTTCCATGTTTCGTGCGACCAACACGATTTTCGACCAATAGAATCGTTTTACGACATTGCCAAATTGTCTCTTCAAATTATATAGAAAACGTTTATAAAGAGTACAGTAATATATAAAATTTCGAAAAATACTGAATGGAGGAGTAGATTTCTTTGGCACGATATTTGATCTAATTTTATATAGAACGTATTGGCAAGAATATTGTATCGTTATTATCATTATAACCTCTAACGAGAGAGTTATTGTACTTACATTACAACGATCTTTTAATCATATTTTAATCGTTTTCAATTCGTCTAACAGTCTATATCAATTAACGTAGTAAAGCATTATTGAATATTGATATAATTATTCAAAAGCATAAAAAAATCATTTGGATATCATAAAATTCAATATAATCAGAGAACGGTAAGGAACGTACAATTTACAGAATTAACTGCTTCAACGTAATTACGTAAACTTGTTTATTTTTGTCTTATGTACGTTTAACATTTAATGCTACGTGTTATCATCGTGGAACAATGATAGAGAAAGATAATGAAAGCAATATCGATAGAATAATAAATGAATAATAAAGAGAAAAGATGTGATTCAGCGCGGGGGAAGAAAGAACCTTTCGTGACGCCTTCGGTGTTGAGCTTATATGAGAGCCGGCAACACTGTATACGCTAAGACGCGGAACGTCGACCAATCAGAGAAAAGAACAGGGTCTAGGCGCGCAAGGTCGACTACGCAAAAGTCATTTGCTACGCGTTCGCCCAACACGTGCGAGCACAATTCTTCGCGCAGTGACCGTTGCGCGCGCGGCGTCCTCCCCTTCTAGCATTACTCCGCTCCACTCTCGTTCGACACGCACACGTCCATCGTCGGTGGCCCCGTATAGACGTCCTGTCGAGTTGAGAATCCGTTAATATCAAACCGATCGCCATGGCGGAAGAATATCTGTACGGTAAATATCGAAAGTCGAAGGAACGTGATCATCGTTCATCGTTTATTTCGTCCTATACACGGTTACTTTACGAGAGAAATATTAGTTATTTCATCGAGACGCCGGCTAAGAGCTTTCGGCCATTGTGATGAGGATCCCTATTGTCCGCGAAAACTACGAGGGAATAGCGCGCGTTTATCGTTGAAACTTTATTATATATTTCGAATATCTTATTTGATCTATATATTACGAATGATGTGCGAGGTTATACCAGACATCTATTGCATTCGAAATTCGTGAACATCGTGTACTATCGTGATTTTTTGTGTTTCTTTAGGAATCGTCCTTGAGGGAGCAAACTCAACCGAGGTATGGGATCCCGAGCACAAGAACGACGATGCAGATGGTACGAACCAGCATGGTTATGGAGCTGATCAGAAGCTCATCATCAAAATGGTAAGTCTTCGAGAATTTCGGAGATATAAAAGAAGGCGATACGCTTTCTCCCTCTCTCTCTCTCTTTCTCTTTATCTCTTTCTTTCTTTCTCTCCATCTCTCTCTCTTTCTCTATCTGTATGTGTGTGTGTAACGCTCGTGCGTTGTGACTCTACACGTACACACACGCTATACGTATTTTCACACGCCGATTCGTCGTCCTTGTCGATTATACGATATATTTTTTTTTTTGGCTTTGTTCTAAACTCAAAGGTGGTATTCATCCTAATTATAAATCGACGCATTTGAGCTCTTTCATATTTTATGGATATCTTATATATCGTGTGCATGAAATGTTTTCTTTCTCGATTGCTATAATTACGTATGATTTTTACAAGCCAATTACGTTTGTCTCTTACGCGTGTCGTCATGTTTCTCGAACGAGAGAAGAACGTTGCCAATATATTCGGCGTCTTTCGTTATACCTATTTTTTTTTTTTCTTTCTTTTTTCTTCCTTTTTGCCAGAGCGCGCTAGGAGCCTCCTGCAACGTTTTACGCGCGAATCTTCAATGCATTAAAGAAGCGTAGATGATGGAACAGAGAATGGGAAAGAAAAATTTTTCTCTTACGAATTCTATGCCTCTTTGATATATACGGTTCAAGAGGTTTTACGTACATCTATCTCGAAATTTTTATCATTATGTTGATGGATTGTATATTTCAATCTGTATGATGATTCATCGAGCATTTATAGATGTTCGAATTTCATATTAATCGTAAGAGATCAGAGACAACGAAAAGTCCCTATCTTTCGCGGTTAAAACCGCAATGCGTGCCTATGATCGTTCATAACCTATACTACAGCGCTTCGATAGTTTATTTTGTTTCATGAGTCTCGATAAAATTTCTTATCGTTATACGATAGAATAATTTATTTTTCTTTTTTTTTTCTTTCTTTCTTTCTTTTTCTTTTTCATTTTTTTTTTTTTTTTTTTTTTTTTTTTTTTAACTTTTTCTACATTCGACGATTACTCTAGTGGACGAACTTACTTTTTTTTCTTGTATATTGAATTTTATTGCATGAATGTTTAATGCTTGGCGCCATTTTTCCTTACAATGGCTTCGCCCTTCCCCCACCTCGGTCCGACAGGATCCTATTATACCGAAAGGGAGATTATAACGGAAATTTCGGTATGCAGGTAGAAATAGGGTTGAGATACAGTAGATGTATTTATCTAAATTGAATTGAAACTACAATGAGTTCTTGGCAGATGGTCTTATTTTATGTCGTATTTTAAAAAGAAAAAGAAACATTAAGCAAATTTTTAATATATAATTATTATGTTATTGGTTAATTAACAGTTATATATATTATTAAATATTACATGACAATATTTGCTTATATACGTTTTAGGCACTTTTAGGACCAGAAGCAAAGCCTGGAGAACTCAATGTACTACAGGTAGAAGCGACGGGACTTAAAGGACCTATGAAAACCCCTATCGCTCTTTTAGAGATGGGAAAGACAGCGCAAATTATTCTTGATCTTAGTTTTCCTGACCCACCAGTTACGTTTACCTTGGTTAAGGGTAGCGGGCCTGTTCACATAGTAGGACACAATCTTCTTGGTAAGAAATAAGCAAAAAATATTTATTTTATATAATGAAGTTTATTCAGAAGTGCGACATGTACGATTTAGACGCCTTCTATCCGTAGAAGCATCTATATAATTTACATTTATCGATATACCACTATAGTTCTTTTAAAAAATTTTTATTTGGATAATTTATCTCAATTTGAAACAATTATAATTACAATATATATAGTGATATATTTATTTTATTTGAAATTATATTTTGTTTGTAGGAACACACATGGAAGAATTTGATGATATGGATGAAGAGTTAGAAGATGAAAATATTGATGATGATGATGATGAAAAGGTATGAGAAAATAATTTAATTTTCAAAATATTAATTTTATAGATTATATGATGCATGCGAAATTAAACACTCGTCTGAAAACTTGGTCTATATGAATTAGGATCTTTGAATTATTAATGAAAGAATAAACGATAAAGAAAAATCAAATTGTTTAAAAATATTAAACGCACATACAAGATATGGGTTTATGTTATCCGTCATGAGCATTATGCACTTATTTCTCTTCCAAATCGTACATTTGTTCTGCTTTTTTTTATGTAGCAATGAAAACAGCAATGTCTTATAATATTATAAATACATTCATTAGGAATGCAATTTCAGGCACCTCAAAAGAAAAGAAAACATTCTGCAGAGGGTAGAAAAAATGGCACCAAACGTGCCAAGATGGACGAAGCAGTAGACAAGTAAAAAAAAGAATAAAAAAACATTTTAAAAGGCTAAAATGTTTTAGTCCCTTATAAACAGAACTTCCATTAAAAGTATTTTTCAACTGTAAAGTGTATTACTTTAAAAGTATAAAAACTTCTTTGATGAAATCTTAGAAAGGAGAGGGTTGCTTAAGAAGTTACAAACCTGGATGTACCTTTTGCGCTTGTGTTTTCATTCCTATATATCTGTTGTTTTATTTTTTGTATAATAAACTATCCAATTTTAAAACAATTGCTTTTATTCACTCTTCATATATCCTTATTTACCGATCAAGCGATAAAGGTTAGTTTCAGCGAACGTTTTTGCAGGTGGAAACTGTTTCGTAAATTGAAATGGGAAAAAGGATGAAATAAGTGCTAAATGCTCATATTATATATACTGGTGATATTTGAAGATGATATTTTAGATAAAAAGTTGTTTCATTACTAATTATTTCTTTGGAAGGTATAACTATTAGTAAAATAATGTACATATTATGTTCGAGGTTAATTTGGCATTTAGCCTTAATTAAGATTATAGAAAATTCAGATGAACTTAGATTTTTGTTTCTTTATAATGCAGGATCCTGATGATGAAGAGGAAGAAGAAGATGAACCTAAGAAGAAGAATGCCAAATTAACAACTGCAGCCAAATACAAAAATCAGGCTAACAAGAACAAGAAAAAATAAGCATGAGCCTTAACATAATGGAAACACAAAAACTCTTAAGTTAGGCTATTATGCGTAAGTCCATCAATTATCATCCGCATTTATGCGAATTTAGTATCGTTTCATTAGATTATCAGACGACACGTGTTGCGTTCCACGTTTCTAAAACACAACTGGACCAATAAAGTACAATAAGATAACAGTGTATCATGTATTCACAGAATGGTATCACGTTTTACTAGTCCACTTGTAATGAGCCATACACGGATTTAATTTAGCAGTGTAGTATTACCACTTAAGTAATCAATTTTCTTTGATTTTATATATATATATATATGTATATATGTATGTATATATATATATATGCATGTATGTATGTATGTATGTATGTATATGTATATATATATATATTTTTTTAATTTTCATTTTTTGCTTCAATAGCAAATACGTAGTTTCTCTGCTTGCCTTAAAGAAATATCCCTTATGCTAAATTGTATTAACTATATATGTATAATATATGGAGAAAAAAAATTGTTAATCAGAAATTATTTTTTTGACAAAATTTTATGAAATTAGAACTGCTAAGGGAGATCTTTTGAGACAAGTGGCTAGAAGCAATCCTTTTACTTATATCGTTTCTAACGACGTTGAACCTACATAGATGCGTTTAATGTTCTTTCCTTATTTGATACATGTAAACTATAAAAAAAAAATTGTTATTTGAATCCGAAGGTTTTAATGACTGAACTTTGTACAATATCATAGAGAGAGAAAAAAAGAGAGAGTGAGAGTTAATTAAAAATTATGCGGTCGTTCTTGGTCCAGTTGTTGTTCGTTAAACTTGTGGAAAGCACAGACGAACTTGCAGTGAAAGAGACGTACTTGTATTTACTTTCTGTCTTCTCTGATACCGTGTTCACATAAATACACTTCCAACGATGCAACAAAAAATATATTATCTTATTGTAGCCATGTAACACGATTCAGAAATAGTATGTCTTTTTAAGAAATTGCAAAGCTACTCTATCAGCCAGTGTAATTTATTATTTTCGTGTGTACAAGATGGGGGAGAAAAGGAGAAAGTTAGTCAAGAAGAAAAAACCCTTATACCGCAGTGTCATTAATAATTGTTAAAAAGAAAGAAAGAAAAGAAAAAAGATAAATAACATCAGAATATTAAAAAAGGGAAAAAGCATATTCACGCGTCACCTCGATATTCATTCCATTTGATGAAAGATAATAGAAGAGGGAGTTACAGGTGTACTACACAGTGTGATGCTCTTACATCAGTATCATATGCAGAAGAAGTATATGTGAAGGGTGTTTGAAATACCCATGCGATTGATAGTAGTCTGTACACCTATTTTGTACATATACGATACACAATAAAAAATTTCACAACTTTTAATCAGTATTGCATGAGTAAAATTCATTCGAGTATACCTCCCCAGCAGTGAGAGTGTATGCTACTTTATATAAGGGAGCTTATTATCTAACGAATTTTTTTCTTTATATATATATAATATATATATAGAAAAAATAAAAAAGAAAGAAATCAAATATAAAATATAAAACGCGTTAATTAGCCTTCTTTTTGTATTTGTGATTGACCTGATAACGTGTGTTTTTAATTGCGATAATTATGAAAAGCGGTGTTTGACGAAAAGAGCAGTTTCTGTAAAAAAAAAAAAAAATCAGTGTATTACAGATGAAATAAACATTTTTCTAAAATATATGTAGAAACCATCACCACAGTAATAATTTTTACGTTCGTTACTTTCATACACTTTTAAGTAATCGTAAATTAACAGTTTTTTTTTATACGTAATATGTATTTCAGTATATGTATTGCAATATGTATGCTTCGCTCGAGTGTCAATTTTTTGTCATATTGAGAATGTCACCTTTGATGATTGTAACCTTTTTTTGAGATGTTTCAATTTATCTTCCCTTTTTATGTAAGAAGTGAAATGAATCTAGATCATTTGATTAATCCGCATTCAAGATCATTTTGAAATTTTAAGAAAGTGAACATCTTCGAGAAGGCGTTCTGAATAAGTTTTGCTATTTAAATTGATAGATATTATATGCAGAGTTCTCAATTAAATGGAACTTCTGGGTCTGACGTCACAGGCAATCGAATTTCTTCAGAAAAATCAGAATGTAATACAACTGAAAAAGAATCGAAGTCACTTCGTAGACAAGTGAGTTGCAGTTTGTTATCAATCAAAGATAGTAAACAAATTATGTATTGTTGTAACCTAAGTCCTTCTAAAGTATTTAGTTGCATATTTGTGTTCATAATTGAACTACTGTCATATTTTTCATTTTGAGATATTTTTTGACATGTTAGGATATAAATTATTTGAAAATTACTTTCTAGAACAAGAAAAAGAAAAAAATCAATATGCTTATACTTGGAAAAATGATTCTTTTAAATAATTTAAACAATTTTTAGATAGCGCATGACAAAATGTAGATCATTTAATATTTTAAATGACTTACAATTATATTATTTTTATAATTACCAGCTCGTATGTATGTAAAAAAAGAGATAGAAAATAAGTAAAACTTAAAGTTTCATTTAAAGGTAGCAAATTTAACAGAGACCATCGCCGATCTACAAAACAACATTTACACAAAAGATATTCAATTGGAGAACATGCGTAAAGACGGAGAAAGATTATCAGCTGAATTAAAGAAACAACAGAGATGTAATAGAAATCTTAAACGTAAGGATTATGTATAAATATATAAAGTTTATACGTACAGTTATGTACACATATAAGATTTAAAATAAAAATATTGAATATCATTTTAGAACAGCTGGATGATGAGAGATATTTTTATCAGAGAGAGAAGGATCACTTTTGCGAAGAGATTCAACGTCATAAAAACAAATGTACAAACAATGGATTGAAATTACAAGAGCAACGATGGAAAGAATTGAAGGAAATAAGAGACTCATTGGATGAGGAAAATAAACAATTGCGCGAGGAGTTAGCTGAGAAAAGTGAGATCACATATAATTTGTGTATTAAATTTCTGCGTATGAAGCATGCAAAGGACACGGTTAGACACAAGTTTGATCAGTTGCACCGGGAACACTTAAGAGTAATGGAAGAAATGATGGAGAAGCTCGACGAAGCTAGGGAAGAACTCAATGTGATTATATCGGAGAAGTTTCAAGAACCATTGCCAGTTAACAAGGTTAAATTCTTGCAAGTAAATCGTTTGATATCAGAAGATTATTTAGATTAATAAAAAAAGATTTGAAATGGATTTAAAGAAAATGATTTTTTAGGTCGTACAAAGAAATACTCGATTGGTTTATGAGAATGCGACTTTGAGAGTACAGATTCAGCATCTTACGCAAAGTTTAAATAAATTGAAGAACTATACGGAGAAGCCTAAAGCAATTAAAGTTGATGCACGTATTATAGCGAAACTTGCTACTCAAAGTCGTAGAAGGCAAGATTCGGAAATAATTCGAAAATGTGTTGCAACGTAAGAACGAAATTTTATATTCTTGCTATAAATTAATTTAATCATTTGATCAATTAATATATATAGATATGTAAATATTTTAGATCTTGCGTTACCCAACCAGTAAATATATCGGCCAGCAATTCGAGTACAAATAACAGCAAATCGGCTGATAAAACAACAAATGAAAAAGCAGCCTCAAAGATTCGAGCTAAAGCTTGGGATAAATATAAATTTGTAACCGTAAAGGAAGACTCTCAAGAAACAAGTTCGATTAAATCTAAAGTTGGATGTATAAAAGAGAATAAAGAAAAAGAAATGGATCAAAATAATTCCACTTCTACGACCAGTACGGATAGTACAACGGAACATTTACAAAAATATATTGAAGTACGTGACGTATGTACGAACACGTGACAGGAGAAGTGAAAAGTAGTTTTTAAAATCTATTATATGTTAGTGAGTCATGCTCGCTATTTCAAAAGGAACAGCTATATTAATAAAATTTCCATAACATTTGACGTAAATATTCCTTAAAAAAAAAAAAAAAAAAAAAAAAAAAAAAAAAAAAAAAAAAAAAAAAAAAAAAAAAAAAAAAAAAAAAAAAAAAAAAAAAAAAAAAGAAGAAGAAATGAAAAAGGTACAGTGAAAATATTGACAAATGTACTTTTAAATACGTTATATAAATCCTTATTTTTTGTTAATTATAATAATGCTTGAAGAAATGAAAATAAGAAAGTTGGAAATAATTCATTTAATCTAAAGGAATGAGAATATATTTACAAACGATTATTTTTATTATCTTTTTAAATCCTTACTATTTATTAATTTAATAAAATATAGATTAAAACGCACAAAATATGTGAATCCTCTTATTTTGTTTCGTATATGCTCGTATGATACATAATATCTAAAGATTTTTAGATTTGAAATTTTACCATATAAAAATGAAAGAAAAAAAAAAAATTAGCATAAAACTTTTCGTAAAAGATTAATTGATTTTAATAAAATGATCTAGAAACTTTTGACCGGCTTTTTATTTTAATTCGTGTCGCAATATGTCGACCGTTTTGTTTCTTTGCGATGTTTTCTTTGGTATAATGTCGAGAGAGAAAGTGACAAAGACAGAGAAAGAGAGAGAAAGAGACAAAGACAGAAAGGAGAGAGACTAATAAGCAACGTTTGATTTGTTTCAGGTTAGATACCGATTGGAGAAAACATCAACTAAGTGACTTACCTACAATCAGTCTTTGTCGGAACGTTTACCGTGGTATGTCGGTAAGGAAGATTAATGCGAGTCAATGGTAAATATTTCAAACAAATTTCAACAGATAAATAATATGTATAAAATATAATACATATCTTTATAACATTAAAAAAAAGAATTTTATATTCAATAAAAAATGATTTATGATTTCGTAATACCATTCGATCGAAATTATAAGATATAAATATCAACGAATTTAACGACAATATTTTTTCGCAAATATTTACAAATATGTTTTCGACAATAAAAATCATTACATTCATCAAGATACTATGCTATATTTAAAAGGTATCATTTATTCGCCGTATTAGAAAGCCCATTGCGCATAATATCCAGAAAAAATAATAATTCATTGTCTTTCGTCAGTTTGACGAATAATAAAATGACGGGATAGTTCTTTGACATAGACTAAAGCATTATTACTCGTTTAACTAATAAATTATTGGGATTTACGGATCCTATCTGTACGACAAGAGGACACAGAGAGAGAGAGAGAGGCCTTTCATGCGTGGTTTCGTTCACGGTAGCTCCTAATGTCCCTCGTATTCGAATCCGCAAAAGGCAAAAGGAACCGTACCAAGGAATCACTGTATCCTCGTCGACTCATAAACGTCATTACGAGGGACAGCCGTGATTACGTTAGAACGACGTTCTGCTTGAGAAAGATAGAGAGAGAGAGAGAGAGAGAGAGAGAGAATGAGAGAATGAGAGAGAAAGAGTGGAAGGCCCAGAGAAGAAGACTTGCTCTCTTTCTCTTTCTCTCTGTCATTCTTACGTCGTGCCAAGCCGGTTCGAGACGAAGCCGGGTTTTAACGATCGGTCATTAAGTCGCGAAGAAAATTGAGACGTCCACCTCTCTCAGTGAGCTCATACCCAATTGAGTAGCGGCCTTAATACCCCTTATGTATTATCCGACAGGAGAGAGAGAAGCACCTTGTTAAACGGATCTCGTCGTCTCTCGCCTTTGCACTTGCAGTTTTTTCTTCTTTTCTTTTTTCCTTCTTTTATTTTTTTTTCTCTCCCTCTTCTTTTCCGTTTTCTCTTTTCTCTTTTTTCTCTTACCGTACCCCCCTCTCCTTCCCTTTCCCCTCCAGCCCTTCCTCCATAGGAATTTCGTCTCTTTGACAATTTTCATTTTTTTTTTCCTTTTTTTTTATGATTAAATCGAAATTAACACTTTGACAATGATGATTTTTTATTATGCATAAAGAATATGTTCGAGAAGATCGTAAAAATTCGATTTCAATATATATTTATTTATAATGAAATTTGTATTAAAAATTATTTGCGAATTTATTAGGACAAATGGAACAATCGTATAGTTATATATAGATATTTTAGAAAACAGAAGAAAAAAGAAGGAAGAGGAATGAAAAAGGAGTCTACGATAACTTTTTTTGTTTTTAGCATTACAAATGATTTTCCTCGACAATTAAATTAAAATTAGCGCTTGTTAGTGGTGATTTTTATTATACCTAAAAAAAAAAAAAAAATATCGTAGAGATCGTAAAAATTTAATTTCGATATATATCTATCATGAAATTCGCATTAAAAATTATTTGTCAACTTATTCGTTCAAATGGAACAATGGTAGACATTTTAGAAAAAAGCAGAAGAAAGAAGGAAGAGGAAGAAGAAGAAAGGAATTCCTCATCTCTCATTTTCGCACTTGCCGTTTTTGTATCATAGAAATTTCGTCTCTATAACTTTTTTTTTTCTTTTTTCTTTTTTCTTTTTTTTATTAGTATTACATTGAATCTTTCCTTTTGTATAATTAGATCGAAACTTATATTTATTCTCATATTTATTAATAATGATTTTTTATTATATCTAAAAAAAAGGGATTGTAAAGGGATTCGAAGGGATTCGAAGGGATCGTAAAAATTCTATTTCAATATACATATATATAACGAAATTTGCATTAAAAATTATTACGAATATTTTCTTGAGAACGTTACATTATAACGGACGTTTAAGAAATAAGTTAAAAGGAAAGAAGATGGAGAAATAATGAGAAAGGAGAAACTTTAGTCGAAACTCCTTTTTCTTTATTTTATATCTAATGATAAGATAACATTGCTCGTTCTTGTTTTAATAAGATTATATTCTTTTTGTCCTTTGACATCCGTTTAAGGCCGTTTAATGTCCGTTCGCACGTCACGTGGCATATTATCGTGCCTCTATCGGGCCCGAACCGTAATGGGCCTTTCGGAGCGGATCCTTGAGTATTAGCACGCCTATTGGTTATCGACCATCGGACGTCATGCGCAGCGTGAAACCAACATAAATATAGCGTTCTCCTCGACTCGAATGGGCCCGACAGAAAGAAAGAGAGATAGAGATAGAGAGAGAGAGAGAGAAAGAGAAGAGAAAGAGAGAGAAAGAGAGAGAGAGAGAGAGAGAGGAGAGAGAGAGAGATAAGCTTGCGTCCGTTCCGCGTGTACACCTTAGCATTATATGTATATATATGAATCTATATTGTATGTCTATCTATCTATCTATCTATATATATATATGTGCATCGTATATGTAAGTAGATATGTACGTAAGTAGGTACGATTTCAGTGCTAACAAGTGGACACCGAACGCGTATCGAAACGCTTATGTCGTCCATTGTCGAAGATTACATCGTAATTTCTCTCCATTGTTTTGCTCTCTCGCTCCCTCGAATTCGCCATTCGTAGAGATATACTTAAGAAAATCTATTCGTGGATATATATATATATATATATACATATATATCGAGATATATATGTATATATAATACATGAGTACTAATCGTAAGTCATTGTGGACATAGAAAGTAACTGTACTGAATGTTAAATACATTTATTTATTTTATTATGCAATATTCGTGTAGGATTATCAGATATTTCTTACTTTTTTTCTTTTTTTCTTTTTTTACGATTGTTGTACAAGTTTTTCTTTATTGCATCGTTTATGGATATATATTTTTTTTTATTAAGTTATATATCGTAATGGTACTTAAATATTTTAGTACCATTAATATGTTTGTTATTAATTATTAATTAAATTATTTTTTGTCGTATCGTTTTTTTTTAAAGCGATATATGCTTCTAATACTTTAGCTATTAAGTGTTATGTGTTATTAATGATTAATTAAATTGTTTATTGCATAGTTTATTTTTTATTTATTTATTTTCTTACTAAGTACTATATATTAATAAAAAATAAAAGTATAAAGTAAAATAATGGTTTAATAGAAGAATATAAGTAATTCAATTTTGTGAAAAATCGATCGAAAGTCTTTCTTATCCAATAAAAGAAATTAATTATTATTCAATACCACCCCTTATATACATAATCCAATTTTTATTTGCATCTATGAAAAAAAAAATATGTGTTTTTTATTCAATAAAAGGAAGTAATTATTATTCAATATAACCCCCTATATACATAATCTAATTTTTATTTGCGTTTATGAAAAAAAATTATGTAACATGAAAATCATAATATTACCTGTACTATCATAATCATAATATACCAATTATAACATACATAAAAAGAAATCTGAATATAAAGTAATAATTCATTTTATCTACATATATATATACACAAGTGCGCATGATTTTTGAAGTTACGTGGGGTTTTATATAAATAATTAAAGTAAATGATAAAAAATAAGAAGAAGAAAAAGAAGAGAATCTAACGAAAAAGATTTTTGAATAAACAAACAATAAAAAGTAGTAAGTGTTCGATGATTTACTATCGTATAAGTATTATACATACATACATATATACGTACGTACATGTATATATTTTTCTCGCATTTTTTTCTCTCTTCTTTCTTTTCTTTTCTTTTTTTTTCTCTCTTGAATCTTTTTTCTTTTTCTTTTTCGTCTTGCTCGCATAGCCAGCAAATGTACATGAATCAATATGTCCGGTACTGCTCTCCGCAGTGAGTTATCGCCAGATGCTAACGTTTCCCTTCCATAAAGGAATAATATCTGACGCTTTATTTCGACCTCGGCCATAGCTGTGGCCAGTGGTAATAGTAGTAGTAGTAGTGCTAGTAATAGTATAGTAATAGTAGTAGTAGCAGTAGTAGTAGTAGTAGTAGTGGTAGTGGTAGTAGTAGTAGTAGTAGTAGTGGTAGTGGTAGTAGTAGTAGTAGTGGTAGTAGTAGTAGTGGTAGTAGTAGTAGTAGTAGTAGTAGTAGTAGTAGTAGTAGTAGTAGTAGTAGTAGTAGTGGTAGTAGTAGTAGTAGTAGTAGTAGTGGTAGTAGTAATGGTAATAGTAGTAGTAGTAGTGGTAGTAGTAGTAGTAGTGGTAGTAGTAGTAGTAGTAGTAGTAGTGGTAGTAGTAATGGTAATAGTAGTAGTAGTAGTGGTAGTAGTAGTAGTAGTAGTAGTAGTGGTAGTAGTAATGGTAATAGTAGTAGTAGTAGTGGTAGTAGTAGTAGTAGTACTCCTCTCTAGTAGACGAGGCCGCTTTAGATCGAAACGGTCGATACATCGTGAGTTTCCACGGTAAATAAATTTTCTCTTATACGAATGTTCTATATAATGGTAGTAGTAGATGTATACGTAGGTACGTACGTATGTACGTAGATAGTTCGTTACTCGTTGTTTATCGTTGACGTCGGTTTATCGGTGTATTTCTCTTTTTTGATATTCATCATACATTTCTGAACCTTTTTCCTTATCTCCAATTTCGATATACTATATTGATATACTATATATATATATATATATATATATATATATATATATTTATATATAAACACATACATACATACATATATATATAGTAATTGTATGTAGGTTTAATATGAATATGTAAATAGAAAGATTCGTTTTAATATAGAAAAAAGAAATTATTTATATATTAGAGGGACCGGAAAGTAATGTCGCTTTTTTAAATTAAATTCAAACAAATAAATTTTTAACGAGTTTTTATTTTTAATCACAATCAAATATCGACATGCGCAGAAACGACATTATTTTCCCCCTAATATATATACATATATATATATATATATATATATATATATATATATATTATATAATTAAATAATATGTATAATCTAATAAACATAAAAATGTAATATAGATACA